TTACATGACATCCCTCAGGCCATACCGATGTGCATACAGACGTCATACGCATCCGCCGACCCCTTCCATGAGTCTCTCCAGCCATCCAGAAAAAGATTGTAGAAGAAGCCAAAGATGCGAAATGAAAAGCACCTGGGTGACGGTGTAAGGTTGTGGGTGTACCATGAGATATACCAAAATCGTTACAAGTTTTTGAACTAGACAGTATAGATTATTCTCTTGAGGAAGCCTTACTACTATATAACCCTATTATGGCAAATAAGCTGAAACCAAAAGAAAGAACCCAGGCACAGCAAGCTTAAGAGTCCATGGGCGGCAGCCCTCCACAGCTCTCCGAGGAAGTTCAAGAATCCTAGCGACCCCGACGGCAGCTCGTCTTCGGGCAGGTGACGTGCAGTAAAGAGGCAAGGAGAATACGAGGCCAGCAAAGCAATTACGACTGCCATCAGCGCGGAAGCCTTCCGACGCGCCATCCTTCTGAGAGGACCGGAGGACCTTGCTATCTCTATCTTCAGCTCAAACGGCCTTGGCCATCAGGCTAACACCTTGCGACCTGAATGACCCCTAAAAAGTGGCTTAAGGTCCAGATACTGTATAGGGGTCTAGTAGCGCATTTTAGGTGGCTTCATGTTTGTGCTGTCTGTAATCCCTAAGCCAAATGAGCAGTGTGGTAACCTTAATACCTTAACAACCTCTAGACTCTAAACTCTGGCAGCGAAGTCCTACTGCTGATGATATGCATCCTGCATTACCTTTAGGACCTTAAAATATGACAATTGCAGTATATTCCTTACTCTGGGTAATGCAGGATTTATCTCATCAACCATATAGCTATACCAGAACCGTGACTTCAGCATTGAAACGGTTGCAGTCTCACTTTCGGCACATGGTATACCCTAAACCCTAAACCCTAGCTAAACCCGAAACCCTAGAACCCTGTGGGCACATGGACCCTTAAGGTATGCTTCGCATACCCAAGGCTGCATTTGTGAAGGTGAAGGTTTCAAGCTTCTCACGCTTCTAGGTTCGAGATGAAAGGCTTGGGGTTCAGAGGATTTGGGGTTTAAGGCTTGGTGGTTTAGGATTTAGCGTTTAGGGTTTAGGGAATGACCGGGCTCATGGTTCTGGGCGCTCTATCCTGGCTGAAATCATACACCTACCTGAAGGAAGTGACCGAACGGACCCTAAAGTGGGGATTGTGACTTCCAAGTAGGTAGATGGTCCATGATTGGCACCCTGACAAAACCAGCAGAATAACGTCCTAAAGTTCTAAAGCACTCGTTTCTATAACCCGAAAGACGCTTTGTAAACACCTGCGTTTCAAATTCCCTGACACGCAGAGCCTCTTAAATCATTCTGAGCCGCTCGGGGGCGTTTTTGAACTTGTGCAGAGTAGTTGTTATTCATGTTTGTGTGGATGGAAATAACGAAATCCTTCCGCAGGACCCTTCCGCTTGCTTCCGCGCGCGAGGCTTTCGCTTCCGCGGGCCTCAGCTTTCATATCGCTTCCGCGGATCCCTTCCACAACGGTTGTTTCGCTGAGTTTGAAGGGTCTGCTTCCGCAAGTGCGGGCTCGAGTCTTGGGGAGGCTATTTGTTTGGGCAAACCACGCACATAGCTTCAACTACCAACAAAGGATGCAAGCTTACACGAAGCACGCGAAGACAGAAGCAAATCTGAAGAGGCTTATATAGGTGGCTTTCGGCTTCGGCTTTAAAACCCTTGTGGGGTCGGGAATTTCAGCGGGTTTCCAATCCATAATCGGGTTTAAGGCATTCGGGGTAGGGAATTTCAGTGGCTGTCGGTTTTCAATCCAAAATCCGGTTTAAGCTCTTGCGGGTATTACATTTCGGCGGGCTTCCAATCCATAGTTGGGTTTAAGGCCTGCAGAAATGCCGCTTTCGCTGGAACGAAACCATCGCGATGACTGCAACTTTGGTATGACTGGGCTTGGGATCAACTTCCAGGGGTCCACCTTCCGCGGAGCTTCCGCGGACCTTCCGCGGAGATTCCGCGCAAGTCCCCTAGAGCCGGTAGTGATCATCATGACCATGATAACACTGAAGTGCGTTCCTTTTCGCCACATGACTTTACTCGTGAACACGCAAATGGAAATGACCACCACCTGATAACAAGAAGCATGGTGGTGATGTTGACAAGGAACATGCTCGGACAAGGATGGGTGACTCTAAATCTTGTTGGCATCTCCCAGAATATACATAAGGCAATATCTTCGCCCAGTATGCATCGAAGAGCACAGATACAGCCATTAAGATGCAGGTGTATGGTCATACACAAGTTCTTGCTGGCGATGTGGGGACTTCGGCTTAGGGGCTTGTGGATCTAGGCTGTTGAGATGACTTTGGGTTTAGGGTTTGCAGTTTGTTGACGTATTATTTACATTCAATCCTAAACGCAGGATATCTGCGTCATGACATATCTTAAGGTGGAGCTTCTGCGGACCTTCCGCGGACCGATTGCTTCCGCAGAGCTTCCGCGCACACAGTCCCGTGCAAATCTTTTCGGCTACCACGATTGATAATTCCAGGCCTGCTCATAATCAAAGAAGCGCGCAAAAAAAAAAGGCTCAGTCCCTAAGTATAAGAATGAAGCCTGAGCGACACGAGGCGCTGTCTTTTTTGAGGTTCCGTTGAATGTTGTGTGGAGTTTCCCGACTCTCTTACGTACCATGTAGGCGCCACAGCTCCGTGTCCAGCTGCCCAAGGACCACGTCTCCAGTTGACAGGCAATATATATGTGTGTGTGTCGTCGTATCATACTGCATCAAGTTATTCGCTATCTTAGCATATCATATGCTGGCATAATCCGGTATTTAATCGTCAAATCTGTTTTTCTGTCGAGTCGTACTATTACTTCAAGCATGTGCATATATATATATGTATATATATATATGTACATGTATATACACATACTAGTTGTGTGTATATACAGATAAGTATATATATATATATATATATATATGTTACATGACATCCCTCAGGCCATACCGACGTCCATACAGACGTCATAATACGCCGATGCGGAGCCATTCCAGGATTGTCTCCCAAGATTCTCTGTCTCCCCAATCCATGTCCAGCAAAGGTTGTAAGATGCCCTCCCAGACAAACAGAACAAGGTAGTAGAAGAAGGCGGCAAAGAGGCGATATGAAAAGCACCTGGGTGACGGTTTAGGGTTGTGGGTTACGATGAGCTATGCCAAAATAGTTACAAGTCCTTGAACTAAACAGTATAGACTAGTATCTTAAGGAAGCCCTACTACTATATAACCCTATTATGGCAATTAAGCTGAAACTAAAAGAAAGAACCCAGGCACAGTAAGCTGAAGAGTCCATCTGCTGCAGCCCTCCACAGCTCTCCGAGGAAGTTCACGAATCCTAGCGACCCCGACGGCAGCTCGTCTTCGGGCAGCTGACGGGCAGTAAAGAGGCAAGGAGAATACGAGGCCAGCAAAGCCAAGACGACCGCTGCCATCAGCGCGGAAGCCTTCCGACGCGCCATCCTTCAGAGAGGACCTGCGGACCTTGCTACGGTTGATGGACAAAATCCTGCATGACCTTGTATACCTAAACTATGGGATTTATGGTACTATAATATACTGGGGCCATGCAGAATTTTGTCCATCAGCAGTATCTCTATCTTCAGCTCAACCGGCCTGGGCCATCGGGGTAACACCTTGGGACCTGGATGACACCTAAAAAGTGGCTTAAGGTCTATATACTGTATAGGGGTCTAGTAGCGCATTTTAGGTGGCTTCATGTTTGTGCTGTCTGTAATCCCTAAGCCAAGCGAGCAGCGTGGCAACCGTAATGCCTTAACACCCTCTAGACTTTAAACTCTGGCAGCGAAGTCCTACTGCTGATGATATGCATCCTGCATTACCTTTAGGACCTTAAACTATGAGAATTGTAGTATATTCCATATTCTTCGTAATGCAGGATTTATCTCATCAACCATATAGCTATACCAGAACCGTGACTTCAGCATTGAAACGGTTCCAGTCTCACTTTCGGCACATGGTATCCCCTAAACCCTAAACCCTAGCTAAACCCAAAACCCTGAGACCCTATGGGCACATGGACCCTTAAGGCATGCTTCTCATACCCAAGGCTGCATTTGTGAATGTGAACGTTTCAACCTTCTCACGCTTCTAGGTTCGAGATGAAAGGCTTGGGGTTCAGAGGATTTGGGGTTTAAGGCTTGGTGGTTTAGGATTTAGCGTTTAGGGTTTAGGGAATGACCGGGCTCATGGTTCTGGGCGCTCTATCCTGGCTGAAATCATACACCTACCTGAAGGAAGTGACCGAACGGACCCTAAAGTGGGGATTGTGACTTCCAAGTAGGTAGATGGTCCATGATTGGCACCCTGACAAAACCAGCAGAATAACGTCCTAAAGTTTTAAAGCACTCGTTTCTATAACCCGAAAGACGCTTTGTGAACACCTGCGTTTCAAGTTCCCTGACACGCAGAGCCTTTTAAACCCTTCTGAGCCGTCCGAGGGAATATTTGACCCTGTGTAGTGTAGAGACTTTGAATGGAGTTTAGGTTCATACGGTTCATGATATAAATCCTGCATTTCCCATAGTAAGGAATATACCATAATTCCCATAGCTTAGGGACCTAAAGGTAATGCAGGAGTTATATCATCCACAGCAGGGCTTGCAGATAAACGAATAAACGGCCAATAAATGTTGCTTCACAGGGTTTTGGCACTCCTGTATGTAATCCCGCTGGAAGATCCCTTTGAACACAAAAACCCTAGACCCTAAAACCTCTCAAGCCTTGCTAGGGCTGCGTGGTGATATTTTGGATCGTTCGTGGTTCTTATACATCCTAGGTACTACTTCCCGGACTCCTAAATTCTACGGAACCATTTTGGGATTTTTGGGGTCATTGAGAACTTTACCCTAAACCCTACACCCTAAGCCCTAAAACCTAAACCCCAAATCCTAAACCCTAAACCCTAGGCCCTAAGCTCCCAAACCTGACACCCTAAACCCCAAAACCTAAACCCTAAACTTCCCTAAACCCTCAGCCCCAAGCCCTAAACCTTAAACCTCAACAACACCCAAAACCCCCAAACTTCGAAGGCCCCTGGCAGTCTGGAAGCTCATGGCTCGGATCTCCACAAAGGAAGCAGGCCTCTCGGTGGGGGAGCATTGGCGATATTGTAGCGTTTTGAGGGTTTAGGGATCAGGGTTGAGGAGTTTAGGAGTTTAAGGTGTCTCCTGATAAGGGGAGCTTGAGGCTTAGGGTTGTTTAGGGGGGCTCATACGGTTTAGGGTTCAGAGTTGAGGGTTTTGAGGGGTTGAGGGGTTTAGGGTTTGGGGGTTACCACGGTTTAGGGGTTAGGGGTTAGGGTTCAGGGTTGAGGGTTTAGGGTTTAGAGGGGTTTTGAGGGGTTTAGGGTTTTGAACGGTGGCTTATGTACATGATGGGGTTCCCTCAATCAAGGGCTCTATGAGGATTCCTTCGAAGGTTCTGCCTGTTTTGGGTTTCCCCGACAGGGGTTCGATAAAGAAGGGTTCCTTGAAGGCTTCTACACTGGGGGCTTAGGGCTTAGGGTAGTAAGGCTTGGGGCTCAGTTCGGGATTCCAGAGCCTCTTAAGAAAGGGTTCGAAAAGGGTTTCAAATCGGGATGGAGTTTGAGGATTTGGGCTTCAGGCTGATTCACTGCAGGCTTTTTCGGGAGTAGGCTTCAAGCTTGCCGCAGGGCTTTGGGTTTTTAGTTTAGGGTTTAGGGTTTAGGGTAGCTCGAGATTCGATTCAGTCTTCTATGCTCATCTTTGACACCTAAGTATGGAAAAAATGAGGGCAGAGGCCGGCTTTGTCTGCTGGGAGTTCGGGTTGGGTCGTAGGATGTCGTAGGTTCAGGGTTTAGGGTTTAGGGCTTGGGGCTCGTAGGGTCGCAGGATGTCGTAGGTTTAGTGAGGCTTTAATTGAGGGTTTAGGTTTAGGGGTTTAGGAGTTTAAGAGCCCCCGAGGACATGCTTCGGAACTCGTCTAATGGGAACGCAAGTAGGCAAATGCTGAGTCCCAGCCAAACCCTAAACCTGAACCCAAAGCCACCCCCACCCTCGCTACACACACAGATGCTGATAGAGACGAACAACAACATAAACTCCAAAACTCAGACCCTAAACTGTAAAGACAGTTCGACCTTGCGCATCTCGTGAGTCGTCCTCCGGCAGTCGTTCGTCTTTTCGGGTTCATTGGCACTCTGAAAAAACGTAGTAGGCACGAACGTTCGTCAGGCTTAGCTTAGATCTTGGCACCCGAAACGAGATAATTACTCTTTGTATACATGAGGTCTTATAAGGGCCTGGAATGAAGTTGTCTGTAGAACTGCAGTGTGGGGCTGTAACCTTTCTGGTTGTGAAGTTCCAGACTTATGCAGGACACTATCATGCACTTTCGTTCTAACCCTTTAATAATCCTTTACTTCTCCCGATGTAGGATGCAGGATTAGGACACTGCTTTTCCACGTGATGTTTGGGGTTTAGGGTGAACAGCTCTGTGGGATCTCCTGTATTACTACGCGGTTTAGGGTTTAGGTTTGTACCGAAGAGTAAGGAGCACGGCGGACCCCTAGAATCCCTCGATGCCGACCCCTGAGAGTTCTTCCACACACTCTCTTTGCAGGGGTTGCCATCATGTCATAAAGGTCGGACTATGATGAGGACGCTGCTTCTGCGGGCTCTTAAGGACAGGGAGAGCAATCTAGATGCTAAACCCTCAACACTACATCCTCCAAAGAACGTTTGTATTTTGGACGCGTCTGACGAGCGAAAGTTGGACTCAACTAGTTGTGACGTGCGATGCCCCCAGCGTGCCCAAGCAAACTGAGACAACAGGACTTAGGCTTCAGGGCCTGGAGTTGTGGGTTTAGGCCTTTCAGGTTTACGGTAGAAGCCCAAAAGTTGGAAACCTAATAGCCTCAATCCTTAAGAATAATGTGTAGGGAGTCCCAGCACTATTTGTGGTTGGTCATGTTTCCAATGTTTTGGGGTTTATTATTCCAGGGGATTAGGACCCTGAACCCCAGACGGTTTGGGCTTTATTGCAGCAGTTGGACCCCATGAGTCAATGAGGGCTGAAAAGGTTGAGGGCGTGTAGCAGCTTGTTCTCGGCATGAGGGTGCTGGAAGTGTTTCCCCGTCATAACTCCTCTAGAGTCACTTCAAAGACTGGCAGAATGGGGTCAGCACACTCTATCTGCGACTGATCGCACAGTCGCGGCCCATCAGCCGCCCAGCTCTAGCCCCTGAGTCTTATGTAATCTGAAACCCACAACAACTGAAGCTTGAACCCTTTGAGTGTATCAGAATCAGACTTGGAGAGGGAGACGGCCTACCGGTCGGAAATCCCCTTAAACTCATGTTCAAAGCCGCAACCGAGACCCCGTCACAAGCCCGTATCAAGAACTCTATATGGGTAGTTCTCTAAACTAGGGTCCCTGTTTAGGTTCCCAATACAGAACGGCACCCTTATAAGAAGGATCCTAAAAGGGACCCTAATTTTAGAGAACAACCTATATACATCCTTCAGAACCAGAGAACCCGCTTCAACCCTAGGACCGCGAGCCCTAAGTGCGATCCCGTTAACATCAAGGATCTCAGGAGCAGAAGGGATTGGCAGCAGTTGAAAAAATTGTATGTTCGGGTCCCTTCTAAGCTTCCTTTCACAAGTTCATATTACTGCGAATATTACTTTCAGTGCTGTTGTTACTACCCGTGTTCTTGCTGCAACTAATCAATGCTCTGCATGAACAGTGCCAGTAGTGCGTTACCATTCTGACTCCATTATCGCTAATGTTGCTCAAGATCGTGAACGACGGATCATGTGTCACAAGGCTGGAAGGGACACGAGATACGAGATGCACCAAGGTGACTGCATCGGTCTGATTGTGCCAGGCTGCGATGTTTGGACATATGTGGGAGGAAGTCATTCTGCTACGAGGCCTTGTTGCTTGGAGTAGTTTAGGGTTTAGGGAACGGTGTGTAAACACGGCTTTGGCAAAAGCCTATGGGCGTCTCCGAATTCACTGACAGTGTCTGCGCCTGTTCCCCCGCAACAATTTTAGGAAAACTTACTTAAACCTTATAGACCCTAAACTCTAAACCCTACTTCCTGAAGGGGTGTTCGGGCCCCAGGAGGTGAGATAGGACAGCAAACGAGTCCAGGGACTGGTGCTCGCCCTTCGTACTTACTCAGGCTTCGATCTTAAATATTAGCGGCTTGCAGCCCATGTCGGGCTTACGGCTCAGGTTAAGTTTTAAGAAAGCCTCAACTCCGGAGACAGATGCAGCAGACCCACCCGCAAGCAGCAGTCGCTTTCATGACGACTGCACCCTTAGCCCTAAAGCTTGAAGTCTGAGACCTATAAGCCCTAAACTAAACCCTGTGCCTGAAACCCTAAACCCTGAAGCCCTAAACCCCGAATTTCCGGTCCCTTCGGGACCATGCATCCGGCTCTTCTTGGAAGTCCCGAGTTTGGGTCA